GCTTTTGGGAACATCTTTTTCATTTTCGCCATCAATGAAAGATTCGTTTTTTCCCCGAATGGGTAAGCACCTACTGAGGTTTCAAGTTTCCGCGGTTCTATTTTGCTGGGAAAACGTTCACGAATTTGTCCACACGAGGGTTTTCACTGCAGGCAATGTGTTTTACTTGGCATATTACCTACTATTTTTGTGTGTTCGTTATTCTAATGAATTGTGAAGCCTTTTAACCTTTGCGTTCGGCTCAGTTTTTATTTATGTCTTTCATAATTTCGAACGGAAACCGAAAATGCTTCAAAAGCATTAGACGCCTACCAATATTCCTCTGCATGTCGAAAAAAATCGGAAAAATGTCCTACGACTCTTAATTTCGTTATTCCGCAGCAAGGACAACACTGCTTTATGTTCATCGGCCCACTATTTACATTTTACTTAGTGAGTACTGAGGAAATGCCCTCCCAAGCATCGACATAGCATACCACGTATTGATAAAGACATGAAATGCTACCCTAAATTATGACATACTCTATCTGAAGGTTCCCCAGCAGTGCGTTCAGAGTAGGCGTCTGGTTAGCGAACACAAAAAAACCGCGCAAAAGATAAAATGGGTATTGATTGCACAGTATTTTCATACGGTATACACGTACTCGTCGAGTCGCCCGTTTGACCGCTTAGCGCTGGCTATAACTGTTGTCTATTTTGTTGTTGTTTGTTGTTGTTGTGTTGTTTGTTAGACATCATTCCGAATTTGTTCGCCCGTTTGACGATCGTCTGCTTTTTCTTACAATTTTATTATTTTTTTATTTATTTCAGAAGACGTTCAGAATTACAAGCGATGGTTTTTCATTGAGAGTGGCGATGCTACCATGAGATGGCGAACAGTTTCGCTTCTCGCAGCAGCAGTTCTGCGTGCTCTACCCTTCTTGACAACGTTGTCTTTGGCAATATTGCCTACCCTGGTGGATGCTCGTGCCATTCTAAACGATGACCACGTTGTGCACACATCCCTCGGTTCCATACGAGGGATACCTCAGGTAAGATTCGAAGGGATTCATTTGTTGTGAGGGACCTTCTAAAATGCAACCATTCCTTTTGAAATGGGGACTTAAGTGGACCTCTGTGTGCTGATCAAGTGCTAGTTAAAGTTGTAACTTCACATACCTGTTTCCTTTGAAGTGTGAGATGTAGCGGCGTGGGAGGGGGTATGGGAAAGTAGCACTCCTGTCTTTGATGGTGTTCTATGGGGACTACTTTCAAATTCCCTGGAAAGATTACCGTAATATTCCCATCAATCATCCAACCATAGCCTGAAAATCCTTAGGATCATCAGTGAGGAGGAATATAGGATTTGTACAGAGTGACTATCAGAATGAAGTAAAATTTCATCCATTGTTTGGCTTTAATGAATTCATTTTATGGAGTTTCAGTCATTCAAATCTTCCCCTGATATCAACCTTTTCAGAACTTTCAAGGTGAACGAGTCTCGGCGTTTCTAGGAGTACCGTATGCTCGCCCACCAGTAGGTGCTCGACGATTTGCCAAGCCGGAGATGATACAACCATGGAGTGGTGGGTAGACGTTTACCTTTAATCAGGCTTCAGATCCCCAAGTGATCTTATCTGCTCCCCATTCCCCTGCAAAAGTTTTGTGAGTTTCATTCCTCTCCCCTACCGTAGGAGGAAATAGATGATCTGACCGGAAAATTTTGGGTGGTTGCATCAATTTTGCTAGAGTTCTTAACATCCCTTTATGACCGCTGATATGACTGGGATAGACCTATTTTAAGGGGTCTGCCGTACTAGCAATCTCCTACCTACCGTACTAGCAAGCTCTTTCGAGACCGTGCACGCTTGAGTAAGTCCTCTAGAAGCAGCCAAACTGAACACACTCCAATTTCACGGCCTTTTAACAGCAGCAGTTCCTGACTGAAATAGACTTCCTCTGGATGACGCGATTCAGAAGTGTTGACGCCTGCAGTGAGCAATAAATTCTTATGGGTGAATGACATCACCTCACCAGTCCACGTTTAAGTATACGTCGCAATGACGACATGCAAGTAGTAAATGAGTTCGTGGAGATGAAGTGTCGCCGCATTGAAAGCTCTCAAGTAGGAGCATCACTTTAAGAGCGGGACGAAATCCAAAGCACAACGACTGGGATTGCGGAAAGAGAGGGAGGTGAGGAGGGGGGGTAGTGGTGGAATAGGAAAAGATAGGGATCCCTGCCCTGCGGTGCCATTCTTACACCTTAGTCTCTGTCGAAAAACTA